TAGGGGTGTGCGAATAATTCGAACTTACGAATTATTCGTTTCGAATCGAATATTAATATTCGATTCAAAATTCGAATCGAATAATTTGAATTTTCAAATTATTCGAAATTCGACGAATAATTCGAAAAAATTCGAATAATTCGAAAAATTACGAATAATTCGAAAGAATTCGAATAATTCGAATTTTTTCGAATTATTCGTCGAATTTCGAATAATTTGAAAATTCAAATTATTCGATTCGAATTTTGAATCGAATATTAATATTCGATTCGAAACGAATAATTCGTAAGTTCGAATTATTCGCACACCCCTACAAAAAACGAGACAATTTTTGTAACAAAAAAAATTTTTTTCTATAAAAGTAAGAAAATTTTTAAAACAAAACGTTTGTTGAAAAATAAGATATTTTCCAAAACAAAAAGGAATAAAATTTTTAAGTAAAAAAATGATACAATTTTTAAGAAAAAATTAGGTAAAATGCTGACCCTAAAGGCCATCTATACAACTTTCTGCGAATTTTAGTCATTACGCGTTTGCAATTTTGCCTCTTGTTGCGATATTTTTGAACTAAATTAATTGAAACAAAATAAATAATTGCTGGCGCACTCTATCTTAAACTTTTGAGAACTCTATATTTTAAATATTTTACGGTCCGATTTTGCATCCTTGAGATCTCTAAGATTCTGCATCTAAATCATATTTGGAAGTGTATACGATCTGAAAATATCTCAATGGTAATTTTACCAAACTCGAAATTTACCGCTAACCTTAAAACACCAACTCTTCGGCCCAGTCATTACTTATTAGTGGACACAGCAATAAATCTACATGTTTATTGATATGTTCATAAATAATCTATTGTTATCCTCACCTCGAGTGTATATCACTGTTGTGCAGTATCTGAAGTTTCCACTCTCCATTCACACAAACGCAACAAGGAATAAACAAAATAATGTTTAAAATCACTAAGGCATTCATTTTCAATTAAAAATGTAATTACCGGTTTTTTATTTCAATTAAATATCCTCTTAATTAATAAGATTAACATTTTTTCGTACGTTGCTAACTTGAAAATATCAGGACGTAATTTAGATTTAAATTTAAAGTAAATTAAAATGACAAGCACCACGCATGGAATATTAAAAATAACTAATGTTATCATGTAAATACACCGTTGTGTGAACCTTTAAATATTATCTATTATTAGACCATCAATAAATTACATTAAGCTTATCTACAGTAGATGATAGTACTACAAGCACCAAGTAAATTTAAAAATACATTGAAAAAATTTTCTTTATTTCTAACGATAATTACTCATCACTCCTTTTTTCTTCGTCATTCATATACATCCATACATAATATCATATAGTTATAGATAACTAAGTAACTCTAGATAACTAAAAATGTAATCATTTAGGAATGAACCGCAGATAAAACTTTCCAATCAACATTCAACCGGCTGATATCAAATTTTTGACATTGTAACTGTGAAAATTGAAAATCGAAAATATTTATTTATTTTTTTTAATTTTTATTTAATTAATTGAGGTGACCGATTGATTTAATTTTAGTAGAGAAATTTAATAAATTTTATTCTGATTAAAAAATTCAATTAACTGCATTGTAATGAGTAATGAGGAATCGAACACACGAGAGTAATGAGACTGCTGTTAAAAATTATTTCAAATAAATAATAATTGTCATATATGGCTAAAATAATTTTTCGATTAAAGAGCACTCATTGATGCTTCGCATTATAAGTCGTGTAACAGAGAAATTTTTACCCTCATAGTTTTGACTTAGTTAATATAATAAATAACAATTATATTTGTGTTGTATTAATTTAATATATATTATTGTTACTCTAACAATTTTTGTCAATTAATTTAGATACGATATTATAATCAAATGACAAAAATTGATTATCTGAAGATAACGTCTAATACTTTCGATGCTTATTTATTGGACTTGGATCTTTGTTTAAAACACGGCTTGTTTAGGTAATTATTCCTAACGAATAGTTAAATAAAAAAATCAAGATTTTATTTTTTCCGTACAATTGTAATTTCTCAAATTAATTATTAAATTCTTCATTTTTTTTCAAACGGTTACACTATTGTGATTATTAATAGGATCTTTTTAGTAGGAAAAAAAATTTTGTAAAAAATAATATTGAATATTTTTTTTTTATGTTGACCATTTCACCGAAAAATGTAAAAAATAAAATTTGCTAAAATTTTACATTTAATATAACATCAAGTTTGCGGTAATTCTTTATAGAACAACAAGCCCTGGCGGATTCGGGTTCACAGTAAAATGATCGTGAAACGACGGTGAATGTACCGTGAATTCACAGTGTCGACAAATGATCGTCGAATGACCGTCACTTGACTGTCGAACGGCCGTCATTTGACAGTGAACGACGAGTATCATTGTGAAAGTTTTTCACTGTTACTTTATGATTTTTATTCTGTATAATTATCATACTTCACTCTTCGAAAAACCAAATTTTTACTTGACTTCTTCGATTTTTTACCTAAGTAAAAATCGTAGATCATCGATCGATCGTCTGTCATTGCACGGTAGTTTGTAAGTGAAACGACCGTGAAACGAGCGTATAATGTCGGTAAGTCAGGAATGTTTTACTAGTCAACGAAGAAAAATTGCTGACAATATTTTATTTTATTTTATTTCCATAAAAATACTCAAACCATAAATTATAAATTATGATCGCTATATATTTTTATATTATTATGTAATATTTTATAGTTGCCATCTGACCTGTGCCTTGGCATTAATAAATCTAAATAATCTAAATAATCAACATTGTTTTTTTTTTTTTTAATCGGGAGATATTTTATTCAACAATTAATTAATACATTATAATTTAATTTCAACTTAACTATAAACTTATTTTCTACACGTCAAATATTTTCACCCTAATTCAAAAATTTGAATCCATTGTTAAAAATTTGAGTTTTTTTTTTTTTTTTAGAGACGAAAACTTTAATTACGAAATTACGGAACAATTGTTTGTTATCAAGAAAAATTATTTTGAGATTTTTTAACAATTAAATTTTTAGCAATTTCTTTTTCAGATCTTTTTTTATACAGTTAATAATTTCATCGCAATTTCGAAATCAAGAATTTCGTAGTCATCAAAAATTTGAATCATTTATTACGATTATTATTTTGAAGTCCTGGAAAAAATATAACTTTATTTAAGCTATTTTTATCTGTACAATGAAAAAAATGACTTGGTTTTGACACCTTATCATGTCACTGAATCGATTACCCCGTGCGTTGTCTCAGATGGCCCAACTGGTAAAGTGTCGTGCGCGCGACCATTTGAACCGGGTTCGAGTCCCGGTCTAGACTGTCCGAAGTATTTTTTTTTATTTTATTGTCCGTGACAGTAGCGTAAAATCACCGTATTTCGACAGTATATTGAGCGTACAGCATCGGTCATAACATCGTAGATTCACTTGCGTATACACCGTATATATTCAATAAATTAATAGTAGACATCGTTCACAACGGTATCCGATGCTGACTGATAGATCGCTCGGTAAGAACGAACTTTATACGGTGAAACGACCGTGAAACAACTGTCAAGCGACCGTGCTGTGACCGTGCTTTCACCGTGCTGCTGAAACCGCCAGGGAGTGTAAACAAATTGACGAAAATCTACGGCCGCAATTTGAATACAAGTTAACATCAAACTTTTGGTTAAATTTCCTTTCAACTTTACTACAACTTAACTAAAATACTTGCTCAGCAACTCTTGACGTCAAATTGTAGAGTAACTTATAGACAACTTAACTAAAATAAACCGTTTGGTTTGCAAACTGTTTCCATCAAGTTGGCTACAAATTTCGGCAGTAGATTGACGAAAAGTTTGAGTTAAGGTGGCTAATGTCAAGATATATGAACACATACCGACTGCGAAAAACAGAGGAAATATGCTTATCGTTGTTGCGTAAGATAGTTTTCAGTCGGTAAGGAGACAGCAGTTGATAAAACGACGATCGTTCATAAAGTTGCAGTGCAAAAATTACATCCAATGACCCTGATAGCCACCTTAACTCAAACTTTTATTCAATCTACTGCCGAAATTTGTAGCCAATTTGATGAAAAAAGTTGCAAACCAAACGTTTTTTCTTAAGTTGTCCACAAGTTACACTGCAATTTGACGTCAAGACTTGCAGTACAAGTATTTTATTCAAGTTGTAGTACAATTTAACCAAAAGTTCGGTGTTAACTTATATTCAAATTGGGGCTGTACATTTTAGTCAATTTGTTTACAACTGTTGAACTGTAAAAATTTACGGCAAACTTGATGTCAAGTTAACTGTAACTGCTAAAATCCAACTACTTTTAATCAAAGCGTGGCTATCAGGGGATTGGTGTCAATTAGAAGTTAAGTATACTACAAATTTAGACTTTTCAAATATTGCTATTAAATTGACGTCAATCTGCTAACGCAGTTTGGTGTCAGTATTGCGCGCAGATTGATGATAAAATGATTGCAAAAGTTGAAAAGCCAGAATATACCCATCTCACAAGTAACAATAATCTCTGCGAAAAATCTAATGACTTTTCTTTATACCTTCCTCTATTGTCCGAGACCTCGTTAAATGTATATTACTTACTTTATATTACTTAGGCACTAAAAGACTTTTATCTTTTCTTCCAAAAATAATCCTTAATGTAAATGCTACCCCTACACAAAAATATCTGAAAAGATTCCCTCATTGTATTTGTCACAGTTTCAGAAATTGAATTCATTCTTTGTGAAGCATAAATTGTGATAATAATGAGAAGTACAAAATGTATTCTTAGAAACTTTTCTTAATTACTTCTTAACTAAATTTAAAAGCACTTTATTACATCCTTACAAAATTTATTTAAGCGTTATCATAGAAATAAAAATTCTAAAAATACATTTAGTACTTCTCATCGTTAATTGAGGTAAAAAATTAATTATATATAGATTTAATATTATATGTGTTGAGATTTTTAATTAGTAATATTTATTATTAAAATACTGGAATTATCTAAAAAACCATAAAATTAATACAATTGGCAGTATCAACATTTTTTGCGTGTAGATGCGGTGTGCACTGCCGCTCAGGTTTTCACTTAGTTCAATGAAACTTATTCTCCATTCAACTCCTGCGTGTATTGGACTCCGTCTTTTTATGTAATCGACAAGGATTTGATCTGTTGTAACTCCTAATATTAATAAAAAAAAAAAAAAAAAAATTAGATTAATTAATACTTTAAAGTCTAAATAATCATATCAATGTTACGTTTTCTTAGAAATATAGAAAGCGTAATAGATTGTAATTAAAATAAATAAAGTAGTTAAAAAGCTCTATAAATTCCCCGTGAAATGAGCTACCGCACGACTTAATCGGCCGCAGGTCGATTTTTGATTAATCGATTAATAAAATATTAATGTCATTAATTATATGAAAGAATCATGATTAATATAGGTAGCATGGGCTCATTCCACTCGAGATTTCATTATCTAGGTCGCGATGCACGTGACTTTCAAAAATAAACAACTTATTTTTTTCATGAATAATTACGCAAACGATTTTACGATCAAGGATATTTTTACAGATTAATTAATTACCAAGAGGCTCCCACGTTAATTTGTCCAACATATCGTAACCATCTCCACCATGATAAATGAAGTCTGTTATTAATACTGTGTATGTTTCATCTTCTTGTAGTTTGTAGTACTGCGGAATTCGACATTTTGAGCAACGTATTAATACTGAGTTACGCACTACTCTTGAACCACGAGGTTTGAACAAATTATAGACGACCTGAGGATAAAAAATCGGTCGTTAGTCAATAAATATTATATATATTGCTGAAAACTATAAATTGTCATTACCTGTAAGCCCGAGAAGTGTAAAAACCGTCCAGAAAGGTTACTAGTGTCGTTTGGTTCAAGCGTATGAACACTGTGTTCAAGCATATCAATAATAATTTTTCCTGTAACCTGTATTTTTCCTACTGCATTATTAAAAGGCAATACTGCAATTATGTCACTAACTGTTATCTGAAAGCAATTAGTAATAATTAATTAAAAAAAAAAAAAAATTGCGCTGACAAGAAATTGTTATAAGAAACAAGTATCAAATTACATACTGGTGCGTCAGGTGATTTGTTTATCGAAGTTCTTACGGAGCCACTGTTGTGAATGGCAACAGCTGCATCAGTCCATCCTTCTAGACCGGCGTATTCTCTGGCGTTCTGTCGGTAAATTAATAATTCATTAATAAGTGTTTAATTGACTAATAAAAATAAATAATAGTACATACGTATTCAACCATGGCGTCAACAACGACGTTACCGAGGTTGCATTCACCACGACGACAATTCTTATCATTGCCATCTAGCAAGACTTTTGAGAACCCGACTTCCATGCGTGTAAAGTTTTCTGTTTCCTTTTTCCACAGCTCCAGTTCTTGAATAATATCAGACGCTTGTTCGATGTCATTTGTCACCAGAATAGGGTTGCCGATGATGTTAGTAACTTCACCATCGGCGTCGAAAGTAACCGATAGATTTCCGAGATACTTTGTGTAGGCGTACGCCTGGACGACGTAAACCTTACGTCCATTTTTCTGAATAACCTCCGTGGGGTAGAGTCCCTCTGGTGCCTCCAAGTCAGGCTTTCTTCCGGTGTAGAGGAAAGTGTTAGTATGACCGCCGATTACCAAATCGACGCCGTCAACTTCAGCAGCTATTTTTTTGTCAATATCGAAGCCCGAGTGGCCAAGCGCTATTATTATTGTGACGTTCTTGGCTCTCAGTTTCTCAACTTCCCGCCTGATGGACTGGACCTCATCAAGGAAAACGACCTTACCTGGTGAGGAGATTACCTTCGTCTCGGGTGTGAGGTACCCTATAATACCAACCCTTTTACCATCAACCTCAAGTATAGTGCTGTTATTAATCAGGTTCGTCGCAGCTGCCAGCTCTGGTTCTTCAGTGAGATCGATGTTACTCGTAACAATCGGGAACTCTGCTGCATTCACAAACGGCACCAAGCCCTCGGGCCCGTCGTCAAACTCGTGGTTCCCCAGCGACTGAAAACAATATCACCGTTACTATCCTCTCGCATTCCGCAGTTGTTTACCCATAAAACAGCCGCACAAACAACCCACATTCATTTACATCCACTCTTACATCAGATTCACTCCTCCAGTAAATCTACTCTAACATGCCGTCAATAATATTCACTCAACTACTCACGATTGCGTCTGGCATCAACAGGTTCAGAAACTTGGCGACGATCTTCCACTTGTGAACCGTGTAGTACACCGAGCCCTGGTAGGTGTCCCCGGCGTTCAGAAACAGCGTCGGCGTGCTGGAATTCTTCGCTTTCCGCACTAGTGTCGCTAGCCGCGCGAACCCTCCGTAACAATGCCCGCTTTCCCTGTCTTTTGGCATGCATCGCGTGGATAATGCAGAAGTCTCCTCAAATCTACTCATCAATAAAAACTCAATTAATAAAATTAACACATATATATTATTAATTTATCTATTCAACAATTACCTCGAGTGCATATCGTTAGTATGCACAATATGCAATTTCCATTCTTGCTTCACCGGTCCCGCGCTAACACTCAAAAAAATGCTAAACCATACAAAAAAACCGACAAACATTGTTCAAAAAATAGTGTTACACTCTTCGAAATTAATTACAGCTCTGCCGAAGGCAATTTAACAATAATTAGTTAAATAATTAAATATCCTTTTGTATTAACAAGTTATCGCATGTTTACGTAAAACAATACGTAATAAATTATCGTTGCGATAAAACTCGAGTCTTTTTTTCTCTACAATCACCTATCGTTGTTTACTCTTCGCGTTACTAATTACACTTAATACTGAGCTGTAGTGAGCTTATAAACTTGTCGAGTATGCACACTATTCAAGCGACGTGGATCGACTGCCGTTTGGATGAATTTAAACCGACCTTACACTCCTCCAATGCTTCGTTACTATCCTACTGCTTGAATATACACCTATACATGTATATTTAAATGTATAGTGTTAAAACATATCAATCGCTCCCTTGCGACAAAATTTAGTAACCTCTTAAGGTATTCTCATTGTAAATTTTTCGGTCAGCACTTTTGATCCTTCGTGTTCTGGGACTTTAGTTATTGTTCACCCGTATCGGTCTTTAAATCCGATCTCCTCCGCCCCAAGATACTCGACTAATTACTATACTCCTTTATTCGGTCTACATTTCAAATTATTGTTTTTTCAGCTCGCAATTAGTGACGGATATTCTTAAATAAATATTATCTCCGGCATTACCGTACAATAATGAATATTTATTTATTGTTTTTTTTTTTTGTCTACGTAACCGAGAAAATTTATGCTTAGGTATTTTCGTTTATCAAATAATTCTAAGAAAATTATTTATAATAATTTTAAAGCTTTTTATGATTTTTTTTTGTTTTAATAAACAAATTATTAATTTTAGTACAAAAAACTAAAAATTATAAAAAAAAAAAGAGTTTTAGATTTGAGTGAATTTAAATTTGTTTTATTATAATTTTTTTGTTCTATCAACGATTAATCGATAAAATTAACACATGTTAATGACAATCTAATGCAAATATTTATAAGCTATCAGTAACTCTAACAGGATAACGTCAAAGTAATGAATTGATGTAAAATATCGCCTGGAATGGAAATGCAACAACAGTTAATTTATTGTTAATTATATATATATTAATATTTATTCATTGATTTACAGTTTGGTTGTTGGTAATTATGCCAAATGTTGACTACATCTATTGTTGGTTATACAAAATTAAATTGTCGGAAAATTTTATTTTTTGTGGCAAGAAAGAATATTTTTGTCGTTTTCCGTAAAAAAAAATCTAGCTGAGCCAAAAATTGTATAATTTTTTTCAAAAATATGCCAGAAATGTAGTTGGGGAAGACGAAAAAAAAAATATTGTAAAAAGTTAAGGTCTTCATATTTATATCAAAAGGTCTATTATCGCAATTTTTTATTTTCTTGTTTGACCGGATTTTCTTTTTGAAACGTTAATACCATCAAGCGAAGTAAATTCAAACGATATATTTTTGAGAAGGAAATTAGATGATCTATAAAAAAAGTAAAATTGAAAATTTCTTCATGAGTTTTCATGTAAGAAAGCCTCAAACTTTGATCTGTTTTTACGATTTTATTTAAAAATTACGGAATTTTGGTAATAATTTTCTCTCAAAAATTGGAAATATCTCCAAGTTTCTTTATAAAAACTTTTATATGTGAGCGTTAGTTGATTATAAAAAAAATATAATTTTTACAATATTTTACGCAAATGTGTATGACTTCACCAATCTTATAAAATTACGAAAAATTAAACAATTTTTTGGAAAATTCTTAAAAAAATGATAATTATGAAACTAGAATTTTTTCCTTTCAATTGCTTCTTTAGAATTCAAAAATCTGATGTAAAAATAAATAAAATTGCGTACAAAAAAAATTATGATAATAAATAAGTGAAGAGATTATTATAAAAAATCCTATACATAAATTACCAACATTACTATCTTATCCTGAATTACTGTGACGAAATTTGAAGTTATCTACATTTTCTGGACATAATTAAGATTTTAAGATTACTATCTTATATTTCCGACAGTGTATTTTTATGCCGTCATATCAAAGTACAAATAGGAAATATATGCCTGAAAAAATATAATGTTAATTCTTACAAAAAAATAAAAAAAAATTGAAAACTTTTTTCAATTTTTTTGATACCAAAAATCTTCCATTTGACAATTTTTCAGATTTATTAACAAAATAAATTTTTATAAAAAAATATCAATTTTCAGAAAATTTGAAATCTGTCACAATGTTTGAATAAAAAAAAAAAATTATCTAGAAGAGTTCATCAAATGAAAAACAATTTATTTGTCAATCAATCTGAACAATAATTACATAATTAACAATGGAATATCACAACGTAATCAATAAAATAATTAATTCGTTATCTTTATCAATTATCGCTAAATATATATGCAGAGGCGTATCAGATTACTCGTGTGATTGATAGTTAAAAATGAAATTCTTTCAAGTGTTTTTGCAAACATAAATGAATAATCAGAAGCTCTTAAATAAATATTAATGTACTAATATGACAGACTATTCAAGAGATAGTTAACACTTCTTACTAAAGTTACTGAACGATAAACTAAATCAACTGCAGTATAGTGCATATCACACGCCGCATATTCCCAATTAGTGCTTTTGCGCGCTCCTATCAGGTAAGACACATTTTTTACGTCAACTAAAAAATGTATATTTAAAAACACTTGTATCTTATTTCCGGTTTTTCTTTCAAGAGAAAAAAATAATTGGTGCTGTCATTAGAAAAATTATATCAATTATTACAAATGACGTTACGCAACATGCTTACAATTATTTTCTCGTGTAGAAGTACGTATTTTTTTATCTTCAGAAGATTTAAATTCAGTGACTCTAATCCGCCGGTCGCGTAAAATATTTGATAGCAGTAGTCTTTCGTATGATTTCATTGGTGATAAAAAATATATGATGTAGTTATCTATTTGAATGTAACTATTTTTAAAAAATTTATTTTTTTTTTATTGTTTTACGGAGTCGTCGTAAAAAAGGTTATTTTTATATCGATAATTGTTTTATTAATTAATTACTTTACTCAATTATATTAGGTGATGACTTTGCTTTACATTGTTGGTTGAGATTTCATTCAATTTTTATTTGATAGTGAATAGTTTGGTTGTGAAAAAAATTATACAGAAAAAAAATCTAAATAGTTTAAGTATGAGTACTTTTCTTCAAAATTTTATCCGTATTATACAATATTTAAATCTTTTAAAGAAAATTACAACCAAGTAGTTTATTATTTTGGAGGAGGAACATATATATTTGAGCCAAGTATTTTTTTCTTCTTGGCTTAAGGCCGATAAAATTTATTCAAGATAATACCGACTGCTCTTAATAATACCCCATTTTTTCAAACAGGCTATTACACAGAAAAAAAGAATTATTTGTCTCAAATAAATCAATTTATTTGAGTCATTTTTTTAAATGTTTCTTTGTGACAACCATATATATTTGGTACAAGTAAATATAACAGTTGACTCGAATTATTTTATTATTAGTCAGAAATATTTCATTTATTTGTGGTAAAGATGCTAAGTTTATGGTAAATAACGGCATCTTTGAGGGTACCAGTCAAATGTTGAATTCTCAACTACTGCGCGCGTATATTCTTCGGACGTCACCCGAACTGACTCTCAAGTGACCGCCATGTTCCTTAAAAACGTTTGTTGTTTTTTTTTTTTTATAACAGTGCGTATTATTGTATGAATTTTCAATTTTCAATTTTAAATAATTCATAATAGTGATCGAAACGATGGAACAATTGTTAATTGATTGTTTAACTGTCGGTTTAAATGATCATTTAAAAGGATAGATAGTAATATTACCTGATAAAAATACAACTGAACAAATTTTAATTTTCAATATTAATAATTGTCTTCGTCCTATAAAAGTGCATGTTACAGCTGAAGGCAACCATATTATATCTAAAGGTGATTTGAATTTTTAATTGTATTTCTGTTCTAATAAAATAAATTTAAAATTATAAATTTTTTATTCTATAGTAGCGCTATAATAACCTAAAAATATGTACAATTAATTTTTAATATTTTAAAATATGCATTATTTGCGTCAACTATCATTTATTTACCACAAATAAATCATATCTTGACAACAAATAAATCCCTTATTTGACGCAATTAAATAGCTCAAATATATCGTATATTTCTCACAAATAAATATTTATTTGGCCATATCCAAATATACGATATCTTTGGCTCAAATAAATCTTATTCAGTTCAAATAATTCTTTTTTTCTGTGTACTTAACTTGTTTAAAAAATTTATCTGTATATTTTTTTATTATTAACTAGTTAATTTCTACAATACTCATATTAAATCCTGATTATAAAATCAAATAAATTTTTTTATTTACAAAAATTTTTGTTCACAAATATTACAGATTGCATGTAGGCACAATTATATACAGTAGATTATTTTTCTTCTGTAAAAATAATTTTTCTGTGATGTCAGGATCGTTTTATTTAATAAACAATTTTTCAACTATAAGAAACTAATCGTTATTTGATATCTTGAATATTTTATGACTAAATTATCAACGGCAGACATTTTTAGGTTATCTAGTAAATAAAAATCTTCAATTCCATACGTTAGTTAGATAAATCTCTACACCCAGTAACTATTAATTATATTGGATTTTGTTCTAATAAAAAAACTGTATTTATTTATGCATTACAATAGTAATTAAACGTGAAGACAGTCTTCTGATGTAAAGAATAAAAACTTAGAAACTAACCGAAAAAAAAAATGGCGAATGTCATCAGTAATAAGGCTGTTGTTTGCTGAGGCGCTATCTGGTGTTTAAATTTTTATTTATCTCAAGAAAATATGTTTGATGGTTTGAGATTTAGATTTTTGAATGAAATACTTTTGAACCAAGCATAAACAGATTTATAATCAAAAATTTAGAAACCAAAAAAAAATTCTTAAAGCAAAATATAGGCTTTCTCACGAGTTTTTTTAATTCAAAAATATTTTTCTTGAATAAGATTAATTTTTTTTCTGTTTAATAATTAACAATAAATTGATATTAATTTATTCCAATTAAAGTGTGTATGATGATTAAACTTTAATCATCATTTAAATCATATTTAGTCGTCAACCAATTTATTTTTCAAAATAAAATTCTCAATGATAAATTAATTTAATATTAATTTTTTATAGGTTGAGAAAATCATATCACAAAAGCAATAACAGAAGAAAATGATCAAACAATTACTGATTCTTATCGCAATTAAATGTACAAGTGGATTAACAGGTCGAGGATTAATGTACCCAGGAAGGACAGATCTATTTGAACTTTCTATTGTTCATATCAATGATTTTCACGCTAGGTAATTTTTTATTTTAAAACTTAAAAATAAAAAATCTATATTCTTGCATTTATGGTAATTGATAAATTTAAGTAAAAAATTTTTTCTCATTAATAAATACTTCCTTGAAAAATAAAAAAACAAAAATTCCGTCAAGGATGTATATCTTTTGGCCTCATCAAGATTTCGTTGATTGAATATTGTGAGGATAAATTATTTATTACATCATATGTTAGCGTGACCGCGACACTTGAGGATCCATAATTAATGTCAATGCATGATATGATACTTCAGTGATTATTGTTGAGCGTTCAATAGCTAGTCTAGCAGATCAATTTAAAAATTTTTTATTGCTCCTAATACAGCAGACTAGTTTTTATTGCCCGTAATTAACAGATTTGAAGAAGTGAGCCCCACCGCAAGTGCGTGCCAGCGAAAAGAAGGTGCGATATGTGTCGGCGGGCTGCCAAGAGTTTTTACTGCGGCTAAACGATTGCTCAAAGAGCGGCCAAACGCTATTCTTCTCAATGCCGGAGATCACTACCAGGGGACGCTGTGGTACAACTTACATCGGTGGAACGCCACTGTCACTTTTTTCAACATGGTACCTTGGGATGTCTTGGTAAAATCTGATTTCTTTCATGAAAATCAATTAATAACATTATATTATTGTACTGACAAAAATGATAACAATTATTAAAAATGTTAAGACGATAGGAAACCACGAATTTGATGATGGTATCGCAGGATTGGTTCCTTTTCTAAAAAATATAAAAGCACCTGTTGTCATTACTAACATTGATATGAGCGATGAGCCAACGATACAGGTAAAAATCTGAAAAATCTCAAGTAATATTACTTTTTTTAATTAAATTAATAAGGTAGTTGAAAAGCTCTAGAAATTCCCCGTCAAATGAGCTACCGCACGGCTTGATCGGCCGCAGGTCGATTTTTGATTAATTGATTAATATAATATTAATGTCGTTAATTATATGAAAGAATCACGATCAATAAGGGTTGTAAGGGCTCATTTTAATCGGAATTTTATAATCTAGGTCGCAGTACACGTCACATTTCAAAATAAACAATTTAATTTTTTCATTAATCATCACCGAGACAATTTTAAGGGCCAAAAATTGTTTCAAGTCATTTTTACTTTTTAGTCAATAGAATTTTTAAACTGAACTCTTTCTTTCTTTGATAAAAGAAGTTTCTTTTTCTTTTTATTCTAATCCAGAATTTAACTACAAACAGCACAATACTTTACCGCGGCGGTAAAAAAATTGGAGTAATTGGTGCAATTATAAAAACCACAACCGTAAGTAAATTTAATGAATTCAGCCTCTAAAAATCAGACTAATATCAATGTTAAAAAAATAAATAAAAACACTAAATTGCAGGAATTATCGAAAACGGAGAAATTAAAGTTTTTAGACGAAATCGAAACAATAAATCTCGAGGCCGAAAAATTGAAACTCTATGAAAAAGTTGACATAATAATAGTATTGAGTCACTGCGGTCTGCCAGTTGATCGAAAAATCGCCGCTAATTGTCCTCTGGTTGATGTTATTGTCGGCGGGCATTCTCACTCGTTTTTGTACTCAGGTGAGTACATAGAACATTATAATTATTATTATTAATATCATGAATATATTTATTCATATCTTACTTTTTTTTTAAGTAACTCATTTTATGCGATAAGTAAAAATCATATGTAAATATTTCACAATTTGGATTTCGCGGTCACGAAATCGGTTCAAGGAAGTCATTGATGCTAAGTAAATAAATTTAAGCTGCATATTATTTTGTTCTAATTTTAACTTAATCTTCATTTAAGTTCTAAACATACCGAGATCTTTTATAAACATATAACATTCGAGTGAAATTCTAGAGTAATAAAATTTTTCCATATCACAATTTCAATACTAAACTTTATGCAAATTTGAAAGTAAGTGACATTATCGACTTTAAATAAAAAGTCAGAATTTGTAAGAAATTTTTTTTTTTTGCATTTTTATAAGATAGGCTGAGAGAAAAAATTTCTTTTGGAAAAATTTGTCATTATTATTACAAGAAATTAATTTGTTAAAAATGAAAAAAAAAAAAAAGATTTTAAGAAATCTCAAAAAAAAAAACCACAAAAAAGTGATTTTTTAACATAACTAAAATTTTACGTCGAATCCTTTGGTAGGTAATAAAGGATTTTTTTGTGTTAAAAAAACTGCGTCTAATTACAAAATAAATGTAATTAGTGTCAAAAAAATTATAAAAAAAACCTCTTACTTATAGAAGCTCACGAAGTAGATTAAAAAAAAAGTTTGGAAAATCCAAAAGTGCACGCCTCATAATCTCACTGTTCACAATAAAATTGATTAAAATTAAAGATAAAAAGCAAAATAATGAAAAACAGAAACTTCTGCTATGGTTTAGTGGTGCCATAACTCTAAGGTGAGGAAAAAAAAATACTACAATAAAATGTATCGATAGATATACAAAAAAATCCACAGTCATATATTAGTTTTTTATAAATAATAATTTAACGACAGTTAATTGAACGCTCATATAAATTGAGAAAATCCGTCGTGTGTTACTTTAGATAATAAAAAAAATTATTCCGGTACGATCATTTTTTCGACCAATTTCCCTGCCACATACACCCATCCATACACGGACGTCCAGAAAAGATTATATTTAATGTTATTATTTACTATGTTAAACAAAAAAATTGTTATTGAAATATATTTAATGTGCCTGACAAATTATTTGACTTGATATAAGTGTACTCATATTAACCTGTAAGTGCGACATAAATAAAAAATTAATTTCAGTTTCGGAAAAAACTGCTTTTTTGAAATGTCGAGAGTAGAGCACAACCTCAACGCTTCGCTTATGAGGCGTGTAATTTTCTCAGAAATGGCGCAGTTTCGCATAGCCACAGCGTAATTCATCATTTTCTCCCACTAAACCATCAAATTATTATAATTATCATCATTATCTTGATCTTTGTTTAACCGGATAAATTTTTACGTGTATATTAACAAAAATCTTCCAGGTAAAGCTCCGTTTATCGACCAACCGGAGGATGAGTATCCAGTGGTTGTAACCCAGGTATCAAACCGCACGGTGTTGATCGTCCAGGCAGCTGCTTTTACCAAGTAAGCTTCATGTCAATTAAAATTTGCTTACCTACTTGGCATTTTTCTAAACTGGTCCCTTTTTTACCATCCGTCGGCCATCAGATACCTGGGCAACCTGACTGTCTGGTTTAACGAGCAAGGAGAAGTGGAGGACTGGGAAGGAAACCCCATAGTCCTGGACGAGACGATCCAGCAGGACCCGGAGATGCTGAAAGCTCTGGAACCTTGGAAAAAGCAAGTCGATGCTCTAGGGAGCAAAGTTATCGGCAGGACGAAGGTAAAGATGCCCAAAACCTGCCGGGTGGGGGAGTGCAACATCGGGAATATGATTACTGACGCGATGATCGAGTCATTTATCGACAGAGCCGAGGACGAGAGCTACTGGAGCTTTGCTTCGATCGCGGTGACAAATGGCGGCGGTATCCGCAGTCCCATTGACTCTGCTTCAGGTGAGATTACCTTTGCTGATCTGGTGATGGCTCAACCCTTCGAAAACTACTGGGATATTATCGAGATGAAGGGCAGCGACATTCGAATGACCTTGGAGATCTGCGTCGCCAGAAGTCAGCCAGGACATTGGAATGGATACTCTTTCCTGGCCTGGTCCGGGCTTCGGGTTTTTTATAACATGTCCCAGCCCGCGTTCTCAAGGGTCGATAGTGTCAAGGTCCAGTGTCGCCAATGTGATGTTCCGGTTTATGAAAATCTGCTTGACCATGAGTGGTACCGCGTGGTAGTACCGACTTTTCTGCTCCGAGGGGGCGACGGGCACTCTGTTATTGCCAGTAAGCATCGGAACCACGTCGTAGGAGGGCGCGATATTGATTTTCTCGTCAAGTATGTGAAGAAAATTAGTCCGCTGATGAACGGGCTTGAGGGAAGGATTGTTTTTGTGTGATTTTTAGTATTAAAGCGGGGAATTTTTTTGGTGCATAAATTTTTCAAGAATTTTTTATGCAAAAATTCATTAAAACTAAGTTTATATTTAATTTTAATAATTAATTAAATAAATAAACAAATAATTAATAATAAAATAATAAATCATTAAATTAATAATTATTTTAATTAATTAAAAAATTTATAAAAATTAAAAAAGAGGCTAAAGCGCTGACGACACATTAAAGCTTACTAAAGATTCACTAAATAGAATTTTTATTGAACGAATTTGAAAAATTGTTATTGATGGAATATTATTATTATAAATTTTATAAGTTTTGTATTTTGGAAAAACAAGATTTAATTTTAATAAGATTAAATGTTTAATTTATTTTTTTTTTTATTTAATTTATTTTTTAAGGTTATTCAATTTGACAACATAAATAAAAAAAGATCTTATTGCAGCTCGAGCTAATAGTAAAAAAAATTATAAATATTATTAAAGTATATTTCTACAAATAATATTTAACTAATTGCATAAAATTTTATGAGAATGATAATTTTATGAGTAAATAATTTTTTTTTTTTTGTAATCGAAAAATATTTTTTTAGAAAGAAATTTATTTTATTAAAAAATTTCAGAAGAATTAATTTAAAATTCACGAATATCTTTAATAAAATTATGATATTTTGTATTATACTTATCTCAATATTGTAAAATAAAGGCGATTTTGTTTTTTGTTTTAAAAAGTATGTTTTTATTTAAAATAAAGGCGACTGCTTGGCCGAGCGGTTTAAGTCTTAAACTGCCGCACAGCAGTCGCTCAGGCGTAGGTTCGAGCCCTGGCAATTGCAATTTTTCTTCTGCGATTTCCGGGGCTTGCTCCCTTGCCGACTGTACCTTGACCAGGTTTTTGTGGTTTTTCCTCGGTCATTGTGCCCCTAAAATAAGCGGGGCACAGGCAAATGCGGGTACAGACTGTAAGCCGGCCACAGCCGCAAAAACGGAGGGTCCTGTTACAGGACTATATAGGAGGAATAGCTACAGGAGGAAATAGCTACAGGAGTAGCTTGGAGGGGGCCTGGTAGTGCGAAGTAACGCTAACGCGGTCCCGCAGTATCAGGTACAAGAGAGGGGAGGGTTTTAGTGAGTAAGAATCTCACACTACCGGCAACCAATATCTCCAACATCTAGCCGGTGTCTTATGAAGATTTCCCTCCTCTCGCAAAAAAAAAAAAAAAAATATTGTAAAATAAAATTATTTACAGATGAGTTACAGTTATTTATTTTTTGTGCTGACATTTAGCAAAAAAAAATTTTATTTTATTAATTGTATTATATAGTAACAGAAATCACAATTTACAAACATAAGAACTTAAATATTTATAGAATATTTATAATTGTCAAAAATTATCAAAATGTTTTCTAAAATTCTGGGAAAAAGATTTCAACCAGAAGACAGTTCAAAAGACGGATCAATGCAAGAAAAGAAAAGAAAAACTGACTTCCGCAGTATATCTACGGTTCCAAATTTATCAGCGCAACAACTTGGAAATATAGCACCCGTTCAAGAAAATAATGACAACTTACTTCATGGTTTTAACAGGAGACAAGTTCCTGATGCTCGCAAATCAGTTCTTCCTAATTTGGATAATACTATCAGAGAATTGAAGAATTTAAAAGACTCTCCTAATTTCAGAGATATATTGATCAGTTATTTACAATCCACGCCGATCTTAGAATACTACCCGCTAGCGACTATTAAAATTAAATTTTCTGTAGCGTTTGGTCCCGATAAGAAAAAAGCTCTGGATGTTCTAAATGACCCACGGTTATATTCATAGGGAATTCATGTTGATACGCAATTAAAATACCATGTAATTGTTACTTTTACAATAATTGTAGATAGTAGTAACATTTAAATGCACTTGTTAATAAATAAAAGCTATGAAATTAAATACCATTCATTTGTTGAGTTTTTGTCGAGTCTAATCAACTGAATTAATTGACTGACGTTATTTCAATTGTAACAATACACTTTTAACAGGACAACTGATTTAAAAAATAATCGGTGAAAAATTTACCGGAAAAACAAAATAATCCGATTTTATTTATTTATTTTATGCTGGCAATATCAAATACAGAAGTGGCGCATATAGATTAATCACGGGCGTCTGTAAAATATAACACCCGGTGTCGCTTGATAATATTGATAAATAAAAATCTTTCTTCAACATTTGAAACTCTGGGTCACTTTAAAAATAAATTATTTCCTCGAATTACTTTTAGACTATCGAGTGAGAAAAAATATTTAAAATGTCGTGGTGATATTAATAGATTATTTTATATGGACAAGAATAAAATATTTAAAACGTCGCATCAATTAATAAATGCAGGTGACACCAAAATACATCCGACAAATGATAAATAAAAATAAAAAAAGTAACCTATACTGTGCGAAGTACTTTTTATAAATTTGTTCATTTAAATGCCGTAATTTTTTGCAATCCTGTCACACTTTCAGTATATTTTTACAGTAATTTGAAAATTTTAAACATCTCAACAATAAAATCTTTTAGAAGTTCTTAATATAACAATTGAAGATTCAAATTAAGAAATTAATACATAAAAGTCCCCAATTTTGAAATCCAATAAGCGATAAATAATTTTTTAAATTCGCCGTTTTTATACGCTCATCACCAAAATTTAGCCCAAAAATAGAATAGAAGGTGCACATTCTTCAAGCAGGTGTTTTATTAACAGGTGCTTAAAAAAGCAGCTATTTAAAAAGAAAATAACAATTTTTTTTTTCTTTTTCAAATGATTCAATTTTTCCGCGCTCTTTAGCGACTTCTTTCTATTGGTGCTTCAAGAGACTTGCACCTGCGCAGTAGATCTTAGACTTGCGTAGAAGCTTTTAGCCATGCGCAGTAAGAAAAACCATGTGCAGTAGAATATTTTCTGCTCATAAGCACTAGAATCATCGGAAAAAAAAATTATTTTGTGAAAATAATTGAAAATTCAAGTAAAATTCTTCACTTTTTATATAAATTGAATCCTCTTTAATATAACTATTGTTTCTTATTTGTAAAAAACAAGCAAAGGTTGAAGTAAGAGAAGAGATTGATGGTAAGAACGCACTCTGCCTACTATAATATCGGTAGCAGCTGCTTTTCCGCTGTTACTATCCTCTCGAAAATGTTTTTGTGTGCGAGTGTGTGTGCATGTGTGTTACAGTCATACCTGGTCGCTCCCCGAGACTCAGAATCAACTGCTTCTCGCCGATTCAGTGCATCCAGAGCCACGCGGCTCGATGGGTCTGTTAAATAAATAAATTTTTTTATTTAATTATATTTAGTGATTATTATTATTATTGTTTTTATTGATAAAATTATTTTTAAGTGAATAGATTAAGTGGGAAAATTTTCAACTATGCGATCTGGAAAATTTGGCCAGTGTGATTTTCACTAGTGCAGTGCATAATTATTTTTTTTTTTTAATTAATTAAATTAATTAGTAGCGGAAATTTAGTGGATGGAATAAACCGTCGGGTGGTTATACATATATACATAATCCAGGATATAAAAGGATCATGCGAGACACTAGTGACATGATGGAAGACGCCATGTCAGAGGTAACGTTTTTGTTTATATTTATTTATTTTTTATTATCTTGTTAGTTTTTTATCGAAGGAAGTTTTAAGCGGACGGAAAAATTTTAATTTACCGATGATTTTTTTTTTTTTGAACGATTTTTTATCTTGTACTTACTTGGTTGGTCTGATGGATGGATGATATTGAAGGGAATATTTGTGTCAATATCAATTTGCAGTGATTATTTATGGATTTATTAAATTTAAAAAATGTCAATTTATTTTTGTGGAGTCACAAAAAATTTAGAAAAATTAATCAAGAACAAGTTTCTAGTTGACTTTTTTTACAGTTTTTTGCAAAAATTATTTAGGTTGAATATCTAGTTTTTTTATTTTTTAAGTGTTCATATTATTATTTTTCTGTAAAATAAAATAGTTTAGCTATAACTATAGAAATATATTATTTGAATGGAATGATTAATAAATTATTGATGAATTTAATGAAAATAAGTGGAAAACAGCAATTTGATAAATCCCTGGGGTATTTTTGGTAATTAAAGCCCAGAAGTGGTTCTCTGATTATTTTTATGCGATGCGTTGACCAAAAAAATGACCCCCGGTAATTAAAAACACAATTGCGGGTGTTTGCAGCTCCAAATAACCGGAAAGTCGTTTATTATTTGAAAAGTATTATTAAAAGTTTATTTTATTCGTCCGGTGGGGTGACTGCTACAGCAAAAATGAATTAAGACAACTCGGATAAATAACCGGGACAAATAATCGAGCCTGTGACAATTGAAAGCTAAATAATATTTAAAATCGGTGATCGAGACTCAACTTAGGTGGTTTAAATCTAATTACCAGATCTTGATGCGCTCTCCAAAGGCATTTAATCCATCGAGTATTTTTATTTATTACAATCATCGAAATAACATTCCTCGGGATAATTATTTATCTTCGGTTGTCGATCAAACAACCCCATTTAAATAATAACTGACAAGTATCTGCCTTTTTTATTTTATGTACCGCTGAGCTACGTTCATAAAACTTTCGTTCCCACTTTCCTCCTGCCCCCAACATTGTTTAACAAGTATCTAAATAAACAATAATAGAGTCCAGCTGGAGATTCTATCAACACAGAAATTTTAAACATTCTCCAATTTAACGCATTGTTAAATTACACCGACAAATCCACGAGATTTTATTTGGAAAATCCACGCTGTCTAGTTAGTCAAGCTCCCTAGTCTCATTTTTATAAATTACCACACTCAATTAGTTACTTAACTTATCTGCTTACAACCGAATAATTAAATATTTTAAATCAATAATTATAAACCCTACTTATAGCATTGAAATTGAATTTAAAGCAAATAAAAGTAACCTGGAATACAGTTACACTAAAATCAATACTCACCATCCCGAGAATTCATTAAGCTTTATCTTACCGGCACAAAACGGCGCTTTTTATTAAATACCCAGTTCTAACAATAAATTCATTTGCTTTGATTAAATGAATATCCGCTTGGTAACCATAGTTAAATGAATCAATCCACGATTATTCTGCAGTTGAAGCTGGTTTCGCTGGAAAACATTATTATTCTTCTCCTATCTCTTGCCTTTCTTTTTCTCTCTCTTACTCTTAATCGTTTTTTTTTTTTTATTACTCGGTTAACTATCTTCAACTTATCTTATTCCCTTTAATTTCTCAACTCTACTTCATTTCATTCCTTGCCATCAGTCCTCCGATAATCGATTTAACCTTACTATTTAATTAAACACTAACTTTTTAAAATAATCATAATTCTAAATCAATATATAATCAATTATTATTTTGTCAAACTTAATTTATTTCATTGAACTGTCTCAAAAAAAAAATCTATTGTACAAAAATCAATTGTTTAAATAAAAAATAAAATTATTTAGTAATTTTTTCTACTTTCTCCCAAAAAAACAAAATTTACTGCATTGATAAAGAGAATTAATGATCATTTGAACATAATTTTTTGCTCTGAATCAAAATTACATATCAATAAAAAAATGAACTTGTATCAAGATAATTATTTTTTATCTAAGAAGATTATTTTATTTGGATTCAAGTAAATTTTACTCGATTTAAGAATTTTTAATTGTAGATAATTAAATTCTTAAAACTCATAAGAATTTTTTTTTTAATCAAGTTTATTTTTTTATCAATCCATAATTAGTTGCCAAAATTATTATTTGTTCTAACTCTTTACATCAATGCTTACTTGAACTGTAGACTATCTATGTTCATTTATTACTTCAGACATTGTATAAATTTGCTAAGCTTTTAATCAATTTTACCATCAATTAATCAAGGAAATCCTTTCGCTCCAGTTGAGTCAAAACAATTGTAGTAGTCTATATACGATAAATTAAAATAAAAAACCCATAAAAATTCCTAAAATTAAATAATAAATAGTATATGAGGCATTAATCGTTGAAATTTTGAAAATAAAAAAAAAAAAATAGTTAAATACAAAAATTAATTTGACTCTTTCAAATCAGCTGCTAGTAACCTGTCCGTGATTTGGCAACGCTGTACTTCGGTTGTTTACATTTTCATTTGCTCAATATAACTTTAACGTATTAATGTAGATTACTTGAGAATTTTTTGTGATTTTTAAATATTAATTTCTCAATAAATATCTCGGTAACTGATATATTTTATTGCAAAAAAAGAAACCTGAATATTTCGAAAATCTAATTTTTAGTTTTTTTTTACTTCATCTAATCCATGACTGATAGTATAATTCGAGAAATACTGCAAACGCCTGACTTTCTCGTAAGACTCTGAACAAATACTAGCATTTAAAAATTTTATTTTTTCAAAAATTTGTCCGGTAAAGTATAATTTAAACCTCACTATTAGATAAATAAGGACCTTAACTATTAGAAAAAAATTGAATTTACTCATAATCTAATATTTTTTATTTTACATTGGCGGCGAAAGGACCTTCTTAATGAAAAATTTTGATTAATGTTTCGTGATTGCACTTTATCTATAAATTGAAATGAAAAAAAAAAAATACTTTGTTTTGCATTGACAACTTTTAATGTATTAAAAATATTGCATTGATAAATGGAATCAATGTGTATTGGTTATTGCACGACTCATGATGCGAAGCATCGGAGAATGCTTTTTACGATCGAAAAATTTTTTTTGCCCCATTTTGGCAACTATTTTTAGTATTATAGCCTTGTTAGTTCACGGAAGATATTTTGCATACTATTGTCAAGATAATTTAATGGAGATTAATTCCATACTTGCTAAAAATTAATTTAGTGCAATAGAAATGGAAAAAAATGTCAAAAAATTTTCCTGTCTGTCATGTATGAAACTCCGGAAACACTGTAACTTGTGAAAAAATCAATTAGTTGAGTTAAATTTTTTTTAAAAAAGTTCTAATCGACAATTGTAGGTCACCGAATACGAATGGCTAATTAATTCAGTGTCATTTAATTACAATTAATAAAAAACGAAAACTACAAGACTGTATACCTATATACCTATATTAGGGTGGCGCAAAAAAACCGACTATTTTTTTTTTTTGAGTCTCGAGTGAAAAAATGTTAGTTTTTGATGTTTTAAGAGCCCTCACCAAAAGGACTAGCTCAAAAAACTTTTAAGAGGTCACTCC